CACGTGCAAAGAAAACAATAAATTTTAATTGGATTTAATCAATTAATGGCCACAGAATTGCCATTTAATGAAAGAATAGATCACTAGACGACATCATGCGGTTGTATATAGCTTTAATTGGTAATTATAATTTCTTTTTTTTTAACTGAATACTTCGCGGCAAAGTTCAAGAATGGTATGGTACTTGGTAGCCTAATGGTTTACCCTGGTGAAGCAGAGACCGTGGGTTCGAATCCTGACTCGCACCTCTGAGTTTTTCAGAGGTGCGAGTTTTCGAAATCTAACTTGAAATTTACCATGCGTTTTTCGGTGAAGAAACCTGCACACATGAGTTGGCCGAACTTAAAACGAAGTAAAAATCCTACAAATAAGATGTTTGAAATATTTAGTAACCCTGCCTGTTCTCTTTATTAATTATGCTCCAAGTAGTTTCAGATTTATTTATCGATTGTCTAATTTTGTCGCTGTGAAACTTAACCTTAGCAGCTACACATACTTTTTTAAATATTTTTGAATAAATTCTAACATATTCTATGAAATTGGAATTAGTATTATAAGTTTTCATAGCATATAGCTCATACAAACGAGACCTTCTCTTATGAATGCCTACTGTTGCCCAGTCGTTGAATTTAGTCTCTCTATGGAAAGTTAATGTTTTCGATTTAAATATATTATCAAATTCATTTTTAATTAAACCAAATATCGTGCTAAAGTATTTGGAACCTCCGGTATATGGGGTAGGGAATTTAAACGAATGCCGATATTATTTTGAAATCTAATGATAAATTCTGTGTTAATCAGTCTGCAGAGAAATTGGTCTACCTTCTTGCTCATTTTACAATTAAAAGAAGCCAATTGGCCACTATGGTCTGATCTTAAGCAATTTATTATTGATTTCGACACTGCGTCTGTGTTACAAAAGATGTTATCAATACAAGTAGAAAAGGAATCAGTGATGCGAATTGGTTCTTAGAAAAGATTAATCAAGTTAAAACTTTTAAATAAATTAATAAATCTTACAGAAGTAGAACAGTTTTCCAACAGGTTTACATTGAAATCTCCACATATTACTACGTTTTTTTGGTTGGAAAAATCCGCTTTAAACTGTCTTCCATAATTAATTCAAACTCGTTAAAATTAGCAGAGGGGGGCCTGTATACACATAAGACGACAAACGGATCCAATTCTACACATGAAATCTCAATAGTTCGTTCAGTAGAAAGATCTGTGATATATTTACGCTCTTTAAATTTTAAGTTACTTTTCTTATGAACGTACTGACTATTACATAATTTTCTATGTTGTTAATTGCGAAAGGAAGTAAGTCGTAAAAACTAAATATAGTTGTAAAGGAGACTACGATAAACTATTTACCTACTGTAGAATACTTCCAGTAAAAGCATAAGTTCAATATTTGGCCGGTATTGAAAACTACTCATATCAAAAGTGACAACCCAATAAACAAGCAGGTCATATAAGTGACCCCTTATACGACTGTTAGTCATATAAGTCTTTTATAGTAGTTAATACCTAACCAGTACAGTTGCGTTTTATATCTGACTAAATAGTCCAATAACATACCATCTCACTCATTCGCCCATTTGGATAGTACTTATGCCTGTCATCTTCCATTCCATCACGTTCGTATGTCCATTTTTACCAATCCCACACTCGGCCATCCTGAACAAATGTCTGCCATCAGACAACAATCACTCCTCAAACACATTTGCCTCATCACACCTGTAATCGTACCAACATAAAAGTAACATCTAACAATCGTTTAAAAATAATATGGTATAAAAATAAAATAGATAACAGCTTTCAACCATTCACTCGTCTTTCATTCCATTTCGTGTAAATAAAAAAATTTAAAAAATAAACTGACAATTACCTTAATAATAAAACCACAATTCTAGTCACAATCTGGCCAAGATTTCATAAAGTCTGACCCTGTGGAGGTTCTGTTGGGGCCCTCAACCTGTGAATCGACCTTTTCAACATCTTATCTATTATTCCTCTTTACTTTAGTGACCTTGTAGGGTTCTAGATACTTTGATTTAAGTTTCATGCCAGCACCAAATTGAGTCCTTCTTATGCACACAAGATCGCCTTCCTTGTAAACATTGCTTTTCTTCCTCTTCTTGTTGAAATATCTTCTATTTTCCTCTTGTATATCTAACATTTGCTTCTTTGCACTTACTCTGAGCTGTTCCCTGTCTTCAATAAAACTATTTCTTTCTTCTTGATGCAGTAATTCTAGAAGTGCAATATCTTCTTTCCTCTTTAGTTTGATTCCAAACATGAGTTCATACGGGGTAGTGTTTACACTTCTTTGATAGGTACTATTGAGCGCTTGCTCTTTGCCTACCAGTCTATACCATATTTCCGGTTTTTCTAATGAAAATTTTGTCAGAACAGATATGAGTGTTCGATGAATTCTTTCTACCTGACCATTTCCTCTAGGAAGTTCTGTAGTGATCTTTACATGCTCAATATTTTCCTCTTTGCAATAAGATTCAAAATCATTACTTGTGAATGCAGTTCCTATATCCGAAATTATTCTGACTGGATTTCCAAAGGTCTGTTGATGTATCTGCAACTTATTCAAAACTTCTTGAGTAGACGTGCTTTTTGTTGGAAAGAACCAGACGAATTTTGTGAAACCGTCCACAATAGTCAAAATATGGTTGTACTGCTTACGGGTTTCCGTTAAGGGTCCAATGTGATCGACATGTAAAGTGTGAAGCGGCGTACCACCTTTACCTATGGGATATAAAAATCCTTCTTGTTTTCCTTCTTTTCTTGATGCTAGGAGCCATGGTATACATGTGGAAATATAATCATCTACTTTTCTTTCCTTTTTTTTAAAGACTTTAAAGGTCAAAATACAGGAATGCATTAGTCTCGTATTAAAATAAATTAATAAAATTTAACAAAATCCAGATTTCCATATTACATTCTTAAACAATACACATTCGGTGCCTTTCATCAAATAACTGTTCTGAATAACGTCTGTCGCCTTTGCCGGTCGAGAAGTACGAGTAGTAATCGTACGGGTATGACGTCATTTCCGTTCGGTTTTGAATACGACAGTTTGACGTTCGATTCGGTTCTTCTGAATAAAAGTTAAAAGAAATCGTACGATGTACAATCGAATCGGTCGACAACAGAGTTATCGTAAGGTTCTGAATCGACCTGCTGATCTAATAATGGAAATGGCAGAGAGATGTGGGGAACTTCTCAACAGTGTACAGTAGGTATGGGCTCACATGATTCGTTTTGACGAGGACATTCATTGCGTTTGTTGGGAGTGCCCTAACCAATTAAATAAAAAGCTTGGTGCCGGTACGGTGCCTTCAATGCTATAGGCCTTATTCAGAGTGGCGGCGGGCGCGCGTGCGACTAAATCAAATGTACGTAGATATTGCCTCGGTCCGCCCGTACCTTTCACAGTGCTTGGTGTTGCGTCTGTTTGCGACTTTGACGTGTGGATCTACCCGCGCTCGTAGCCGCTTCGGCACTGCGAAAGGGAAGACGCCAAGACCCGCGCGCCAACTCGCCACAGCGCACGCACCTGCACTCTGAATGAGTCCATAATCTGATCTCATTCATTGTACTTAGGTAATGGAAAGTTTTTGGGTCCGGAGCTGCTACAGAATGTAGCAGTCCGGCTCATGGGTGGTGATTTGTTGGGCACTGACACTGGCCGGCTCGTGACTGACTGCCCACGCACTAGAGCTCGTCGTACGGCTAGAGGTGTGCGAGATGAGCACAGCGAAGGCGGATAATATTTTGAGGTCAATTTTTTTTAATAAAAAGTTATAATTATTTGGTCTATTTTTAATTCTAGGTGCGTTGATAATATGTCAAAATAAAGCAGAAGATAGCCCAAATGTTAAGAACCAAGGAAATGACAATAAAATCCCTGTGGATGTTCAGAGCGAGCCTAATGCTAAAGGGGAGGAAACTGAGGTTAACGCCACCCCTATTACTCCTGGTACTACATCTGGAAGTGGTTTGAAATATATTAGCGTAAGCATGGTAGACGTCGAAAACATCACAGAGCAGGCAGTTGCACTTAATGGTGGAGGTATCCAAAATATTGCAGTTAACAATCTGGTTGACGAAAACGATACAGTAAATGACGGGAAATCACAGATTAACTTGAAAGGAGGCATAATTGATACTTCTACGGTTAATAACGATGATGCGAATGAAAAAGTCCATATTGAAAACGATGTTGTTTTAACTGGTAACGGTGTAGCAGATCCAGCGTTTGTAGCAGACGATGTAGTTGATAAAAATGTAACTCAAAGCAATGTACAAAATGGAAACACAACAGTCAGAGGTAATGCTCAATTTGGAAAAGACATTCAAGCCCGTGCAACGGATGACACAGCAGAAAAAAGAAATAAGAGTGTAAGTACTGAAGAGAACGAAAATATAAAGGTAGTAAAAGTGTCAAATTTCCATTTTGAAACAAAACTTGATAGTAATAATGGTGAAAACAAACTAGTTTCTGTAAATGTAGCCATGAAAAATAATCAAACTACAACTATTGTTTTTCAGTTTCCTATTAACATTTACGTCGATCACGTGAATAAGAAAACTGGTTTTATAACTCGTTTGAAGCAAACAGAAACATCTACGGCAAGTGATGTGTACATAGCTAAAAAAATTAAGGAGTTAATCAAAAAGTCTAAGGAAAACGTGAAGGATGCGTCAAATACAACTGGGAATAGTTCTCTCGCGCAAAAACCTAAGCCAACTAAAGTTGATAATTTGAGAAATAAATGATTTTCAATTGTCTAAAGTTATTTTTTGTGGGTTATGTGAATAGAGAGTTCAATTTCAAATACCTTGGTTACCTTATTTAAAAGTACCTGTCCAAAACATAACATTTTAATATATAATTTAAATAAATCTTCAACATTATTTTAGTTAGTGAATTAATGAAAAAATATAATATTATATCGATATAAATACTTATTGAACGTATGTAATTATTAGGATACTATTTATAGAATTATATTATATTATTTGCCGCCCTGACCACGTAACATAAGTACGAGAAAGTGATGGGTAACCCTGCCACTTCACGCACACATTTGCGCCTTGCTATATGTAGTAGTAGTAGGTAAATATATTTCGACCTTTATATGGAGTGTCCGGAGTGTGCCCATACACTTCAAATCCGAAATACGATAATGCTCACATTATTGCTTGGCGGCAGAAATAGATCAGGGGGCATACCACAACCTCTTAAAACAATATTACTTTAACCTTACATTGACTTCTCATACCATGACGCGCTTAATGTAAGCTTATTATAATGTTAAAACTATGATGTTTTATTGGCAGCTTTGTTACTATTCATTCACTCAGTTCGTACTATGACGCGACTTTAACATTAAAGTAATATTGATCTTATTTAAAAAAGTAAACTTTTTAATTGCTTTTCATTTAAACACTCAGCTCCAGTAGAGGTGACTCTACTCGTGTCAATTTTGAGAGAGCTCATTCGTCGGCCGAGTGTCGAATAATCAACAACCCCTGAGGATGACACTTAGAGAGGTGAAACACGTGCCGGATATATTGGTGGTGGTGGCGAATGTGTCTGTAATTATTGCGTTTGTGTCATTTATTTTATTAACTTTTTTATTTTATGTGCACGGAGGGTGGGAAAATTAATTGTATGAAAAAATATACAACTGAAGCGCAGCAACTTCACTCGATTCAACCTTTACGAGGTTCGCGGAGTAGCAAATAATATTACTTCCATTTTTATAACATGGACTTCACAAAGTAACGACTTTTAATCTATTAATTATTTTTAAACGTCATTTATCACCAATTCTTACAAGTTTTCCTTTACTACAATAAACTTTATTAGAATATGTTGACCGAAGAAAAAAATTATAATCACCGCTTCTTTGTTTTGCAACAACAAAGCGTGTTTGTTGCTACGTCCTGTACGTCTAGTCACGTGATATAAAGTCTATTGAAAAAAAAAACAATCATATTGTACATTTTTTATTGTATCAACAAAATTACATTTTTTTTTTCATCCTAACATAAGTTAAGGTATTTTCTACTTGCTCATTAAAAAAAATAATATGTATTTTTAATGAATGTCGATATAGCCACAGCTCTACATATATTGAGAGACTTATTGAAAAACCGTTTTAAGTACACATCACACTAATTAACGCAGAATCTGTCAAAAAAGTTTCTTCCATACACCACGGACGTAAATCGTTCGTCTTTTGTTACATGGAACGTAAAACTTTTTCTGAAGAATCTAAATCCATTCTCCGTCAATGAGTGGTGATTATGTATGTAAATTGCGTGTGGGGTGGAAGTGCCGTACCTGCCCTGTAAGGTTCTGAACAGACAACGGATTAACCAATAAGTAATAGGTTTTTTTACACCACAAAAATAACAAAAATAATTCAAACGCGGTAGACGATGTGGCACTATTTAAATGTATAGAGTTTCTAAATTCCGTTAGTAACGGAAAATCTGTTTCCTCACAGCGTATGGTATTTCATCAATGTGGTCATAGCAGATGCAGACTTTTCCTTTTGGCAGTATTCGGTGTCCTGGCTTTCCTGGTATGCATGGAGTACCTGGTGTATCTGAAATACCTGAGGTACATGGTGTTCCTGATGTGCCCGGAACACCTGGAGTTCCTGGTGTACCTGGTGTACCTGGTGTTCCTGGTGTACCTGGTGTGCCAGGTGTGCCTGGTGTTCCTGGAGTTCCTGGTACGCCTGGCGTTCCTGGTGTTCCTGGTGCGCATGGATGTCCTGGTTTTCCGTGATTTCCGTGCTCACCTGGATGGCATGGTACGCCTGGCATTCCTGGTGTGACTAATGTGCCTGGTGTACCTGAAGTTCCAGGAGTGCCTGGTGTGCCTGGTGTACCTGGCGTTCCGGGTGTTCCCGGTGTTCCTGGCGTACCAGGCGTGCCCGGTGTTCCCGGTGTTCCTGGATGCACTGGTTTGTGAGTGTATGGTTCATTTGGCCACGGTTTTCCTGGGTGTTTTGGTGGCCAGGTGTAGACAGAACAGCCCTGTTCACTATGTTGTTCAGAACTCTGATGACTGTGTTTACTAAAGCTCTGTTCAGTATATGTGTTTGGTGTTCCCGGTGCTCCTGGATGCCCTGGTTTTCCGTGATGGCCGTGCTTGCCTAGATATCCTGGCTTTCCATGATGTCCGTGATGACCGTACTTTCCTGGATGTCCTGATTTCCCAGGTGCACCTGGTGCGCATGGTGTGCCTGGTGTGGCTGATGTGCCTGGAGTGTCTGGCGTGTCTGGCGTACCTGGTGTGCCTGGCGTACCTGGTGTTCCTGGTGTTCCTGGTGTTCCTGGTGTTCCTGGTGTTCCTGGTGTTCCTGGTGT